TAAACAATTTATTAAAGGATTTATGACATTTATGCATTGAAAGAAACATGTAGTAATCGTATGTTAGGCAGGGGAGATTGTAAATAGGTAGGGTTTCATTCGGGGTGGCTCAGACTGGGTACGGGTAACACATTTAAAAATATCTGTCAGCATTCTTGAAACTGACTGGACTATATCAAGCGTGTTGATATTGTCCTAGAACTCGTTAGTTACTTTTATCGATGAATGGGTGTGCTGGAGTCAATTAATATGCTAATTTGTAATTTGTTTTGCCCTAGGGCGGAACATGCGAAGTTACGAAAAACACTATAATTTATAATAAGCGTATTTGGGGCGGAGGACTCTACATAATGCGTTTGAAGTTGTTTTATACGTATTGAAAATTAATTTAATTTAAAGTATTGGACTGCAGGATGAAATTTAAGCAGCAAGTAGAAAATTAAACATTGTTCATTATCGAAAGGAATGAGCCTCATAGATTGCTACTTCTTTACGGCCTCCTTGTCTGTCTCCGGCTTGAAAGGGTTAAACGTGTTGTAAATAACACTAAGTGCATCATTTCTTGATGTTGTATTGGTTTGCCATTATTTGGGGAACAGAAACCACGTGGTAGGGATTAAACTTCTCAGATAATGAAACGGCTGCAACCTTCTCGCAGTCTTTCAAAATCAGCAACTTTCAAAACATTGACGTGACCAGTTAAAATCAAGAAATGTCACGCAGTCCGAAATATTACTTTCTGAACACCCAGCATTTCAGGATACCGTTTTTCGAGACACACTGTTCTTTTACATATCCAGTGCATTCGCTGTCGAAACACCAGATTTTCCTTAAACTTCTTAAATTTTATTGTTAAGTTTTATGGAAGCTCTTTGTGGCTGAGTAAAGGAAGCTTTTATGAAACCAGATGTTTCGCAAGCAAAATTCAGCGGGCATTTCTCACATCATTCACTACTTCATGGCTCTAGCAGATAAATCAGGATTGAGTAGAAATTGTGCAGAGGCAGTGGGCTTGTCACTCACTGCTCATAAATGCACACTTCAAAGGCAGAGAAACCTCCCACATAGGAGGAGGCCAAGGCTCGACTTCGGGCTGTTGCGCCATAGAAAGAAAAAAAGTTTTTACATCAATGTAGGCTAATTTTTCGTTCCTACGCGTTAATCATGCAAAGCACATCGTTTGGAATACTCTCGTTTAATATTCAGTATCTGTGCATTTAGCCTACATAGTGTATTTGTGGGCTTGAACTGATATTTGTGACTTAGATGCATTGTCTGTGTACATTGAAACTGTTATTTGTACATTAAATCCACCCAGGCTGTTGAGTAATTAGACTTCTTCACCATTTAATCTGTCCAGATATATTTGAATATGTAGGCATAACATGGAAACGAATCCGGCTTAACCTACTCCCCGCTTACCTTCATAAACAAGTGCTGTCAACTAGTAGACAATTTCCTTTAAATATACTACCTAAATCCTTTCATAATTCTTGTCCCACGCCAAGCAAACTTTTAAACACACATTTGACGCCTACGACATCCGAAGTGTTCCATGTCTGAACTGATGACAGTTACTCACACGTTTGTCCTTGATGCTAGCGAACTTGTTTTAATGTTCTTGTGAGATCTGCAGTTGTGATTAGCGATAGGTTTCAGCCGGATGATTCTTAGACCGATCGTTGTTAAAAGTTTTCTCTCCTCAATTTATTCGAGCTAAAGACTAATGAGAAGTCCGATTCAGACCGTTAAATCCCTCTGTCTCTATCTTTACTGTGCTCTTCCTACAAGAATGTCCTCATTAACTACGTAAACCAATGGTAAATCTAATACGGAACAGACTGCAGTTTTAATTTCAGCTTTTTCCATTATTATGATTTTATAATACACAATAAGTGTTTCTTATAGATAGGATGATTGCTTGTAAGCTTACAATTATTTCTTAAAATAAAATGAATGAATTAAGAAAACAATGCAATCCTCTCTTTGTTTTTAACAGGCTACAATTTGTATGCTAGTTTACCGGTGTTCAAACTGCGTATCTCCAAAATATACTCTGTGAGCAGTTTATATATGCGTCACCCGTCTAAGGCATTTTTTCAATTCATTACCTTACTTAGAGGCCGAATGTGCACAGCCTAATAGTCTCTTTTTCAAGCGTTCGTTTTTATTCTTGTCTTCCGACTGAAATTATTTGGCTGTCCTATTTACACACGCTCCTGCACAGAAATGTGATATTTAAACGAGACTTACATCCGAACATAGTAGTCACTTTAAATTAGGCCACTGTTCCTTCTTTCCACAGCTTTAGCAATGTATTACCCATCAATCATCCGGTAATTCGGAGCTGTGCTGAGCTATTGACAGTGTCCTTAAACAAACCATAAGTAAATAGATTAGAACGACAATGAGCTATTATTAATACCTTGAACAAGCATTCTCCTATACGTTTTCCAATCCGCGGTGTCAGAAGGTAAATAATCAAAATCTGACTACGTAGTAAGACAACTGAAGGTGAAAACTGTGTACAGTAATAAGACGACGAATACTTAGTTTGAGCCCAAGCGATCCTGCCCCTTCTGGGTTAAAATCCCAGCGAACCATCCAACCAAAATCCTTTGCACAAGGGACAAGTTGCCTGACAGGATAACCTCTCATCAGCAGCAACAGATCCTAGTTTGAATAGTCAAAGCTTCCGCCATGACAAAACCCCCGTTAGCGTAAGCAAATTCCCGTTTTGGTTATAAGGATCTGTTTACCATTTCCAGCAATGCGTATCGTACGCAGGAATGGTGTTACCTAGAAAGGGACGATGTCTTGCGCAGAACTCCGACCTTAGTTATGTTTTTGGTTGTTCGATTGGCTGTAGGCTAATGTTACCCTCGTTCTCTTTACCCCGGACATTCCGTCAGACAGGGATTGTGTTCGAACTGTCACGTTCCGGTTTCAAAATTAGTTATCCGGACCAATGCTTCTTTGACCTATCGTAGATACGTTATGTGTAGACCTGGTATGGACAAGCACCTCTCATCGGTTCGTATACTGTGTCATTTCAATAAATACTTTAGGACTGGGTCAAGGCTTAAGCCTATATACAACACTAAACCGAACAAATAATACAGTAAAATCAACATTTATTGTCGGTAAAATACTTTTGGAATGCAGTTAGTCTTGTGAAGTCTTTTACTTCGGTGGACCTGGAAATGAGTTTATGAACCTCTTGTTTACATACATTGTTTTCAAGCTGAAATTCCATCTTTATTTTACGTTTGTTCGGAACTAATTTATTGTCTCGATTGCAGAGGTAACGGTAACTATGCGATTGGAATACGAAGCAAGAATCTACCTTATGTTGTAGCATATTTATGAGAAGATGCCGTTGGATTGAAGGTACAACGGCGATACTAGAACAGAAAGGAAACTTGATTGTTCGTCATCTAGATATTTTTTCTCTGAATTTTATTTCCATTTATCGTCTGTCTTTATTTTAAGTATTCGCTTCCTAAGTCATAAAAGAAACAAAATATGCTATTGTCTTGGACCCAGGAGGATGGACTTTTGAAATGAAACGCAGTGTAATTCTGATGCAGGCCTTCAGGCTCGCGATCTTTTTGACATTTGCCTACTATGACATCTGTATGAAAAAATGGACGTGTTTACTGGTTAGTGCCAGCTACTGATCTGGTTTATAGAAATTAAAACTCTTTTCTGATCAGATTCTGCAAACTTCCATTGACATTCCTTGTGATATGCAGAAGAGATTGAGGACGCATCCAATGTGAAGTAGAATATAGGGCTAACATCTGCGTTGTCGCTTTTGTTGTCAGAAATTCCTACGAATTAATTGTATATGCAGTTCTAATTCATCGAATTTAAGTTGGTTACTTTTGTAATGGCACGCCTCGTCAAATTTATAGTACGTTTTCATTGTGGTTGGCTCTCTGTGCGTGTCATGTCCGTACATGAAGCAGATGTGTGTATATCGTATTTATTCCATGTCATTTCCATCCCTTAACATAATTCACTGCATTTAATTAGCGTATGTCTTAATTGTTATAGCTTGTTTTGTAATATATTATTTATTGTTTATTAGTAACTGAATATTTAAACATTTCTTCTCACAGTGTAGTTTCGTAATGCAACAGATTAAGATGTAGCTGGCTTTCTACCGCAACAGAATGCCCCGTATTGATCAGGGATTGTAGTTCGATTCATCGATATAACCTTCTTAAGCGTTCTTCTGTGTTGCCTTCTACGTTAGAAGTTAATGACCCTTCTTATGAAAGTTTTGCATTTGTAAAATATTAAATTCTCCAGTCATCAATAAGTGAATCAAAACAGGCCAAAGAGCTGAATCCGTGAAACCAAAATTATGTAACAGGACCCTATATTTAGTCGTTAAGTTAATTATCCATATTTGGTGGGTAAACTGGCACTGAAGAAGGTTTCTCTGCGATTTCTTTGACACCCCTGCCAATCGTCGTTCCGTCATTGTTATCTTATCTACCACCGCTCTTTGTGGTGTGAGACAGCCCTGACCAAGCTGCGCGTTGTAGTAGCTTCGGTCATAAGGTAAGGACTTCATGTCTGTCCCGGAATTTGGCCCGGAGTGAGTGCATTTTATTTTAGTTAATTATTTTATTTTCTCTTTCCAGATGGTTCAAGCGATCCAGGTGCTTCGGTTCCATCTGTTAGAATTGGAGAAGGTAAGAGCAACTTTTTTAGTATTAATAGTTCACTAATCTTAAGTAGGATGTTGCACCTAATACTTTGTCTCCATGATGATAATCCTGCCGAGGTAGTGAGTTTCTTAAAAAGAAAAAAAATGAATAACGGTATTAATGTTTCCCATATTAGGATAAATGCAGGCTTACAAAAAGCACGTGGTCCAGTTGCGGGCTTTTGTGGACACGGTAATGCGTTTACAGGTTTTATAAGGGGCGAGAAATTTCTTGTTATCCTAATGAAAGAGGATTCTTATATATTGAGTTTGCAGGCGAGTAGTGGATATCATATAACATGAGTGATAATGTAGACCCCATTCACAGTTGTTCATTGTTTCACGCTAGAGACAGTCAAGGCTGTATGAAAGACAAGTAAACAGAGCTCTTAAGAACGAATTGAAAGGATTTAAATGGGCGGATTTGCGATTTTTAATATGCAAACTCCATTTCGAATTACTTTCGACATTTTGAACCTTTCGGAACTTGAAATCGTATGCTGTATAGAGGGGAGCTGTATCCGGTGCTGTGGGCTATTATATACCGTGCTGTGCATCACATACAACACTGCAATCCACTTTTTTCATTACATCGCGGTAACTAAATTAATGCTGTTTGGAACTGTCGCCGCAGAGAGGTTTTTCCGTCTCTCTCCCTCTCTCCAGACACATACAGCGAAACGTTATACCTAATTGCAACCCGATAGGCATAGCGCTTCTCAGTAGGATATTGATTACACGTACTGTATGTAACGTTAGGTTCGCCGCATCCTAATTAGGCTGGTTGTGGAGCAGGGGGTGGCGAAGCGCCCTCGGAGCACTCGTATTATACTGCACTTGCGGGTGGTGGAAACTGAATAACAAACGCCTTTATTGTGTCCAATATTGGAGTGGCTCCGAAACTCATGAATCATGTGTTCATTTTTGTTAATCCCCCGTCGTACTCCGTCCCCTTCTCTGCCTCCCCCACCCCCAATACCCTCTGCTACTCTTCTGTGTCGTATGAGACACAGGTTGGCTTGTCTGGAATTTTGGGTTTGTAGATGTCTGTGGCTAACAGCATGAGAAACTGTACACTAGCTGAAGGGTTGAAATTTATACCCTCCTAACATTGTATTTCTAAATATTATTCCTGCATCAAGCCTACTGACGGATATTTATTACAGATCAGAAAAAACTTAAAATATTATTACATCATTCTCGCATTGTCCTCCTGAAGAATCTCGTAATAATATCTGAGCTTGTCAGTAATTTATCCACCTTTAAAATATGTTATAGAAGTTCACAGAGTACTCGGTTTAAACAAAACCCTAACTAAAACTGTATTTGTTAGGTTTTTAACATTACAAAGGGGATGTTATATAGTTTTCATTTGTTAGGAAGAATTTAACAGAAGAGTTGTATAGCAGATGCTGAAAACGTCCACCACCTCTTCGAAGACAAATGTCTTTGAATTGTTTCTTGTGCCTTTGAAAGTTTTTCCTGGGCCCATGTTGGCAATATTCTGCTTAGGAGAATTCATAATTTAATCGTTTTAATTTTAAAGACTCGAGTTCAATTGTATCTTTTACGTTATCAGATTTAACACCTACCACATAGTTGTCTACGTAATGAGAAATTATTTGGAAGGATTCCAGTCGAACGAATGCACTCAGCTTTCGTATGTCAAAAAGTAACATTCAGTCGAAGTATGAATAAACTCCATTAGATAATAACACAAATTCAAAGAAATATGTGAAACACCTCAGAAAGTTTTGTATCAATAAGACGTTTGTTTAAGCCAGTTGCTTGCAGAGACCTTGGTGATACTCTGAGTTCTATCTGGAAACTGTCTTCTGTCACAAAAAATTATATGCCTTTTATTTGATAAAGAACAGAAGGAAGTATATGGGTAAATAATTATGCTCCCGGTGAAAAGTAATATCCAACTTAATTGCATCCGCAGTTAGAGCATTCGTCATATGGACGGGCATTGCGCTCCAAATTATGTGCGCTTTGCGCACTTACGTTATCGCCAGCCTTCGCTTTGTTGGCTGTCTTAAAAGTTTTAACGACTTATTAGAATAATGCTTCAGAGTGGTGATATCTAGTCTCTAGTAAAGTATAACATTAATAAATTCAGAGATCCTGTGGTAGCACCCACATCAACCTGCGTTTCATGGTTCCATCTGAATATAGTCATTTCTGTGAAGCGAGTGGATTTTTTTGGTATTTGAATTTCAGATTTTAAAAATTTATACAACTGTATAGAAAGACGCAGTCCGTAAAAGAAGGAGCGTGTATTAAATAGATTATTTATATTTCACTTCCAGGCATTAAAAAATTACATAAAAATAGGTTATCTAATCCTAGATGGATCTTAAGAAGACAAACATTGCTTTTCAACAGGAGCATATTCATAACTTGAACTTGGTAAAATTAATTTTAACTTAAATTTAACTATTTTAGTATTTGAATAACGCGGGGTGTGGGCACATTGCAGTTTCTACGAAACAAAATAAAAGTTTGATTAACTTCCAAGTAGTGGACGAACGCTGTCGTTGCTTAATTTAAGGTATTATCCTGTCATTTGTTTGCAGGGACTGAGGAAAACCAGGCAGGATATCCGATCTCTTGACCCAGATTTTTCTCGAAATTCGCGATTACATATCAGGAGTGCTAACGCTCAATTTTTTAATCCAGTTTATTGAAGATCAGTTACGTGCGAGCCTGTAAATTAAGTATTTTATCAGAAACCTTAACGCTTGTGATTTAACTGGGTTTTAATCTGTGTCGTAGCGTTAAATAAGAACCACCCCTTTGACTATATTTCGCTTTATTATTCTTTTGTGTCAGATATCGTACAGAATAATTGACAATCCCTCTACCCAATAGGATCTACAGGTACATTATTATTTCTATGGAGATTTATATGCATTCATGAAATATTCTTGGAATAAACATTGTTACTCGTTACTCGTATGTGAATTTCTTGCTGATGTTATTTATGTGGTTGGGGGCGGGTTGCAGCTAACGTAGGGCGTGGCCACAGGCCCACGGCAGGCAGGATGCCGGTTCGGTTCGTCTTCACGAACGCTCTCTGATCGCTGTTTGCCACGCCATTAAGCATAACAGCGATCAAGGAAACAGACATCGCACTACGAGGCACATCGCTTGATGTTTATGGATAGGCCTTTACGTTGTGCATTGGGACGCCGTTAAAAACAAACTTTTTGTTTTTGTGTTACAGGACTCGCTCTATAAAATGTTCTTCCCACAATGTAATATTTTACTTTTTCGTATTTTACTAATCTCTAGAACACGTCTGTAGTTTTCTTTAATGCATTCAGTCGAATGTCTCATGTCATGTCCTTTCTGACGCAAATTTATATCTGGGCTGTATTAATTAATCTTTCACTGTTACACCTGACGAAATCCGCGGGTGATACTTAGTAGCAAAAAGTATTAGAAATGAACCTCGCTTCAGGAATAACACTGTTAAGGGCATAAATTTAAAATCATGGCCGAAGTAGAAGGAAATTAATTGTAAAGGTGTCTTAAAATTATAATAAATTTGAATAAAATCGAACTTTTAACGATTCACATAACAGGCTTTTTATTATGGAACAATATAATTGCTTTTACTACTAGCAAGTTTGTAGAAACTCTTCAAGAACTTGCCAGAATTCAAGTACATATATCTTGTTAAACATTAGGCTTATACTAGCAGGGTTACGAGGTGCGATCGGAAAGTTTCAAGACTGCGCGTATAAAAACCCGTACACTTATTTCAGGTATTAAATTCATCCATCACCCTCGAAGTAGTTCCCCTGGGAGTGAACACAACGATCCCAGCGCCGCTGCCAAGCCTGGAAGCATCCCTGGAAATCTTTCTTTGCCAGCCTGTCAAGCACCATCTGCGATTCTGCCTGAATCTCTTCTATCGTCTCAAATCTCCTTACCTTTAGCTGAATTTTCATCTTTGGGAAGAGGAAGAAGTCACACGGAGCTTAAAAAGGAAGTTGGGGTCGGTTCTTGCAAGATCTTTGAGCTCCTGACAAACGAGAAGTCAAGGCGATTCTGCTTCTGGTCCTCAGACAGGAGCCTTGCGTCGCATGTGGAGTTCTTCCTTTAGAATCAGCTGACAGGCCCCATAGCCTATCCCAACAATGTCGCACAAGTCGTTGATGGTACGACGTCGATCTTCGTAACATTTTCGGGCGTTGTGCTCGAAGATGGTCGTCCAGAACGCTCGTCATCATCGACAGAGGTTCGGCCATTTTTAAAACGTGAATGCCACACAAAAGTTGGTGCACGACCCATTGCGGACTCCCCAAATGCTTGCTTTAGCATTGCATAGGTTTCCGTAGCCGTTTTGGCGAGTCTTTGGCAAAATTTGATGCACACGCCATTCCGAAATCGCAGGAGCCATTGCGTCTAGAACGATTCTGGGCCCACTCAGTCTCTTATCCAATGGGTAGGCCTGTTTTCTCTGAGGTAAAGCGGCCGGAGCGCGAAGCTGACGACTGATTCCATTAAGAGCCGCAGTTAAGAATACTTGGAGCTATACCGTTATTTCCTCATACGTCTTCATGGCATGGTGCTATTTAAGTACTCGAGCACTTTGCATCATGATTAATGGATACACTGCCACTGTGGACTAAAACGTCGAGTTACATAAACTGATGACGTCATACGCGATTGTCATCTTTTCTATGTTTTTGATTGTCATCCGGTCACCCGGTCTATAGGCATGAAGAAGTTTTTGACTTTGACGAGTAGAGACATTTTTCTGTAACAAGTTTTCTTAAACGTGGTGATTATGTAGTTCGGTTGAAAAATTAAATACCAACCACCCACATGCCATTCTATATCACTATAATAAAATAATGCTTTAATTGTGAACTGTCCTATGAAAGACGTAGTTTGATTTAAAAATTCAGCTCTTCTCTCATTAAAACACAACGCTTTGCTGTTACAGAGATCGATCTGTTAATGCTGTTTGAG